ACATGCCTGGCAGAAAATCCAAATGTACATAATCCGTGTAATATGGGCTTGTCAAAACCTAAAAGAAAAAGAGAAGGAGAGAGAAAATTTAGCCAAATATAATCACCTGTCATGTTTTTAAACCGACCATTTTTAGCTTGGGCTTTTTGTTGTTGTAGTTTTAGTATATTGTTAAATTGAATTAGCCTGAATTATACCTCTACAAGAGGACTTCAATAGTTTGTGGGAAAATTACATTATCATTGAATTCCATTTCCACAAACTTTTTGAAGTCCCTTTGTATTTTAACTAACATGACATTATTTCATAGAATAATTCCTGTTGAGAGAAACTATATAACAAATAAACAACCACAACAAAGAAAAAGGAAAATAATACTAAAAGGTTGTGAATGCAAAGATTTTTCTTGTTTCAACATTGGTTGTAATCTGTCATCATCCACGATTTGAGTGTCGATGTGTGTAGATGAGCCTTCCTTATAATTTTAGTTCCTGATCGCTTCTCCAATAACCTTGTCCTCCCACAGTAACACAAACAACCACCCTTAAGGCCCTATCTTAAAATTTACACTAGCAGGAGTTTCCTCCCACGAAAATCTGAATTTGAAGTATGTCACTTTTCCGACTAACACCTACCTTTCAATATCCTTCACATAAATATAACTTAGCAACGGCTATTTTTTAGATGTTGCTCAAACTACCAGTCATAAGTAATAGAGGCTTTAATAATATTATTTACACTACTATGATAAACAATCCCTTTCATAGGAACAAATTTATTAGCAACTCACCAGCTAAACTAGCAAAATCAGGATCAATATGTAAGGGATTCCAGTCTCCACTGAGGCGGTATAAAGCAGCCTGTAGAGAAGGAATGACAAAACCAGTATTCAGTGATTTCTTAAGATACATTAAAAGGAAAACAAGGAATATGGCTTGTTATATAAGAAATGCCTTGTAATATGTCTAATTGTAGCTCTGATTTAAAGGGGGTGGCAGAGAGGGGGGAAACAACTATCCACAAAAAAGAATTACTATAAACTGAACCCTCGACCCACTATTTATATTCTACTGACTAAGCAAAGACATTCAACTGTGTGCATCATAACCAATCATGAATAACATTGAAAAGAATAGAAACTCCAAAAACACTTCATTGCGCTCAATTTTTTTTTAAGGTTGCAGGAATTGAAGGAATACCCATTGAAATATTCAACAAGCTGATGTACACTGGAAGCACTCATTCAACTATTCCAGGAAATTTGGAACACAGCTACTTGGCCAATAGGCTAAAAGAAATCCTTATCTGTGCCCATTCCAGAGAAAGGTGACCCTATAGAACACAGAAATTATCAAATAATTACCATTTCTATCACATGCAAGTAAAATTTTACTGAAGATAATTAAAGCATGGTAGAAGCAGTATGTGCCATGAAAGTGCCAGAAATCAAGATCGATTCAGAAGAGGACAGGGAATAAGGGATATAATTGCTGATATTAGATAGATTTTTAGCTGAATGCAGAGAATACCAGAAAGGTGTTTACTTGTATTTTATTGCATATGCAAAAGCATTCAACTGTGTGGCTCACAACAAACTATGTATACCACTGTGAAGAACAGAAATTCCAGGACAGTTGTGTTCATTTGTAATCTATACATAGACTTGGAGACAATGGTTTGAATAGAACAAGGGAACGCTACATATTTTAAAATCAGAAAAGGTCATGGTTGAATCCTTTCATGTATTGAATCATACTTATTTAATCTGTATGCTGAGCAAATAATCTGAGAAGCTGGAGTATATGAAGAAAAAAATGTGGCATCAGGAGAGAGGCTCATTAATGACCAGCCATATGCAGATGACACATCCTTACTTGCTGAAAATAATGAGGGCTTTATGCACTTATTGATAATGATCAAATATTATAGCCTGCAGTATGGATTGCACCTCAAATGTTTTTTTGTCTCACAACTGGACCATTAAACAGAGAAAAGATTTAAGTTGTCAAGAATTTAATTTTACTAAAATATGCAATCAATGCTTATGGTTGTTGTTGGTAAGTGCCGTCTATCTTTTATGCAACAGAACAAAACAGTACCCGCTCCTGCACCATCCTCATAATTGTTATGTATGTGCCCATTGTTACAGTCACTGTGTCAGTCCACGTTGTTGAAAATCTTCCTCTTTCTCACTGACTACTTTATTGAGCATAATGTCCTTTTCCATGGACAGGTCTCTCCTGATAATATAGTCAAGGTATGTGAGATAAAGTCTGTCATTGTTGCTTTCATATTGCTAGTTTACCTAGGAGTCCTTATGTG